AAATGCAAACTGGTTTTTAGTTTGATGTGATAAACGAAGAAAATATTTTTGGTTACTGAGTGAAAAACCACACAGGCATTCACACTTAAACACCTGTAAAGGATTTAATGGATGGGCCCCTGAAATTTTTACTGTGGGAATTATTTAGTAGGAGGGAATTACTTTGTATTCAACCATCCATCCATCCATCCATCCAACCATCCATCCATCATGTTTTTTTTTGTTGTTGTTTTTTGATGTTCTACATTTAAAGCTTCCCCACTGTGCAGGTCTCTCCAATAAATTCATAGTTAATATTTGAATCCAAACCTTAAAATAAGTTTCATATGGACGAAAATAAAAATTTGAGCCGAGAAAATCACATTTTAAAATGAGCAGTTCCCATAAAATGCTGTGTTTTGTAAAATGTTTGGTTTTTAACTTGTCCAATGTGTTGTTGCTTGGAGAAATGCAGAAAAGCAACACAAAGAAAATTATATTTGAAACAAGTCTTTAAAACTTTTGAGCCCTTTTAAGAAGTCCTGTGTGCTGTAATTCAGCTGGTTTATATTAGAAACCATTCAGCAAGTCCCAATGTTGTTTAACTAAACATCAATTACATTACAATCATAAATTAAGGAACACAGTTTGCACACTTTTACAACTTATTTATTTAATATGTTCATTAAATGACTTTACATTTCGTTTCCTAAATACCAACAAGCAAGTCTTTATAAAACAAGCAGTCAGTTCCTCTTTTGTTCGTCTTTTCCACATATCAACAACAAGGTCTGCAGTAATTCAGCTGGCTCGTCAGTGAACTCACTTACTGGAATTAATCAGCAGCAGCAGCAATATATTCAGCTCTGCTACTCTTGATTGACAAACTCTCGGGCAAAGTCAAGTTTACAAAGACAACAAAGCTGCAGCAGACCGTCCTGTGCATATGCGCTGTGGAACAGCCCCCTCTTTTGGTGCCTCAGCGTAACTGCTGAGAAACGCTCCTGCCTTCAAGGTCTAAAGGAGACCATCTGAAATCAGTTTCCATTGGCTGGTTTGATTTCCCTTCCTCGTCTTTGGGTCTTAATCAATGAAGTGGACAAACAGCTATTTAGGGAGAACAATAGCCTATTGATTTTGAGCCACTCATCAGCACCCCTGTCTATCTTACTAATTTCAGTAATGAGATGGCGAGAGAGTTTTTTGACTTCGTTCTTTTTCCTTTCCTTTTTTTTTTTTTTTTTTTTTTTATAAATCAGAGCAAAACACGTTTGCGCGGATGCAATTATGAAAGGACTTTTCGGCCCACAGTTTCATAGCTAATAATGAGGCTGTTCTCACCTTTATTCCTTCTCCAGGTTGTTAAATTTCCAGCATGAAGCAGCCGCTACTGTGCATTTAATTGCACCTCCTTTGGTTTCCCTACTGCTTCCCTGCTCTCAGATTTCACTCTAACCTCCTCATCGCTGACAGAAAAGCGCTCCTAATGCGGTGACAATCGAGTCGACCTGTTAAATTAATTTGCCAGATACTGTGTCAATATTAAATATCAACTTTGACCTCCTTGAGCTTCAGAGTGCGCTCGCCCAGCTGGAGTATTGATTTTTTTTGCCCGCCTCTGAGCTCACTTGGCCCGCACTCAAAGTCCATTATTTTTGATTTTCTCGTGAAATACATATCTTTACCCGCTGACATCTGACAAACAGCATATGGAAGTCATTTTATCTACCAATAATGTGTTTGTCAAAAAGTCTGAGGTCTTAATGGATTCCTGCTCTGCACGTGGAAAACATCCGCCAACGAGATGCTGGTAGATGTGTGTGTGGGTTTGTTTGCGTGTGTTGATGAGTGCGGGTATTGTTTATGCAGGGCATTCATGCACAAAGGACAGCAGCGATGGGAAGGTAATTGGAAAAAAATGAATTAATTGTGCTGAATTAATTGTGGGTTCGTCACAAGCGTGAGTTTCCATTCAAACACGCACACAAACACACACGATTGCGGTGTGAAGGACAGTCCACAGTCTTCCAGGAGGATATTGGCCCCGTGTTCAGGCTCCCATCTAGAAGCCCCAGTCAAGGTAATGACTATTTTTGGAGCCACGTCTCCCTGTGCTGGATGACAAGCCGATAGTGTGTCACATAGGACGGCTTAATTCAACTCGTCAGTCAGTTGTCCAATTCTGCAGCGCATTAAAATCAGACCAGAGTTGTTGAAGTGCTATTATGAAGCTTAATAAAGTGTGTGCGTGATAGAGGCTGACATTTTGCTGTGAAGGCTGGACCAAATATTCATTTATTCATTAAACGCCGGGGCCGTAAAGATGTGTTGTGACACCCTTTCTATAGCTGCTAATGGATTGAATTAAATCATTTTTATCAGCTCCAAATGCGTACTGTATTTGAGTATGCTTGCAAAAGTATTCACACCCCTTGAAGGTTTTTCACATTTTGTCACACGACAACTACAAACCTAGATGTTATTTTTCGGGATTTCGTGTGATAGACCAACATAAAGTATAAATGTGAAGCAAAAAATATATATATACATGGTTGGATACTTGGTCTTTAAGTTATTTTTCAAGTATAAATATGGATAGTGTTGGATATATTTGTCTTTAGTCCCCTTTACTCTGAAATATATAGAATCCAGTTTAACTACCAAAAGTCGCCAGATTGGTTAAATTGAATCTACTGCCTGTGTGCGGTTCAAACATAGCCGTTTCTCTGCAGATCTGAGGTTTGTCAGAAAACATTACTCAAGAACAATGAACACATAGATAGGTCAAGGATAAAGTCGGGGAGACAATTAACAGCACTGTTACACTGCAGAATTAACATGCAATATAACAAGCTGACTTGCCTTGTGGGGTACCTCAAGGACCTGTTGTGGGGTCTTTTTTCATTTTGCTGTACATTCCCTCTTGGCCAAATTATCAATATGTGGACATCATTTCTATGCTGATGACATCTTTAAATCCAGTTATGTTGGTACCAAGCCAATAATGGATCACAGTAATCAGAGAAGTAGCCCAGAGCCTAGCAAAGAGTGACTTTGGAGAGCGTGTATGGAAACCACATTTTCATTTGAAGGATCTGTTGACAATGCAACAAATCTCTTCACTTTGCCACAAGCTATGTAGAATACAGCATAAACATGCTGTGGGGGTTATTTTCTTTAGCAGGACCAGAAAAGTTGGTTAGAGATAACGCAAAGACGGATAAAACTACATACAAAACATTATGGAAGAGAACATGTTAGCTACAAAAACCTTGAGACTGCGACAGAGTTTTGCCATTCAGCAGGAGAATGATCATAAACATTCAGCCAGAGCTAGAATGGGATGTTTTAGATTGAAGTGATTTCATGTTGGAATATTCTAGATCAAAATCTAGCTGGGAATTGCAATACTTGAAAATTGTTAATTATTCAGTCTAGCTGTGCTAGAGCTGTTTTGCAAGAAAGAATGGGTAAGACCTAGCCTGGCCATTGTCTTCCTACAAAATTCTGCTAAATCCTCATCTCATGTTTTCCTATTGAACTGGATTTCTCTGGTTGAATTCCAATCGGGCCAATCAGAAGAAGGAATTATTAACAAGGACATTGATTTTCTGCTTTGTTTTTGAATTGTAATCTTCCTGAATAGGGTTGTGGTATGGCAATGCCAGTGGAGGAAGTGAACAAAGACATTCAATCTTTATTATATTTGGGAATGAAAGCACTTCCAAACAAAATTACAGTCGGAGCAATGTGAATGTTTAAGACACTGGCTCATTTCATACATTATGACTAAACATTAGCAATTGGGTAAAATTTAGTCCAAGCCTCCAGGAAGCAATTGTTTCTCAATAGCCAGGGTTCCAGTCTCTCTGTTTGAAGCAAATGGGCTAGTTTTTACCAGGCTGGATAACACATTCAGACACTGATATTTCTCTTTTACTTCACAATAATTTTCGTCTTTATTTATTCAGTCAAATGGAATACTAGTACAATGAAATAAAGTTTGTGGTTGCAATGGTAAAAGGTGTTCAAGGAATATAAGTACAAGGTACTGTAGGTATTCTATCATGTCACAGTGTTGGCATTTAGAACTTAAAAAAGGACTTAATTCAGTCCAAAAAGAGTTACATCGTGTGTAATCAATCATTGAAAATCTGGTTCACCCTTCAGAGCAAAATCGAAGTTTTCCGATATCCTACTCTCTAACGCACGTTCCCATTTGTGTTACTGACGCAGCCTACATCCGTGCCGCTCAGAAACACGGACGCCTGCTGGATTGACAGACAGCGAGATGGGAGAGTGCAGGAGAGGACGGATAGATGGGAAAGAGAGGGATGAATATTGACTGATCAGTAGAAAGACTGACAGCCAGAAAATAATGAGTGCATTCAGACTCCCCCCTCCCCGTCGCTAACTTTCCTCGGCACACCTATTTTTGCCCTCCCACGCTCACAAAGACTGCTTTTAGATTCCTGAAGTGATTTGTCATCTGATATGCAGAAATCCTGATGTGTTTATATCCAGGAGTAATTTATTGGAAACCCTTTGTGTCTGTTTTTGTAAAATTGGACAAGCCGGAGAAGTATACTCTCTGATACATGAGGTCTGAACTGAATAAAACTTAATCACATTTATTCCCTGTAATGAAATTCCACTGCAGTGAGCTTGTGTTCATATTTTGATTATTTTAGAATGCCATTATCTGAGTGTAATTCACTGTCTGGCTATTACCTTGTTAGTATTTTTCCCCTCTTTACCTTTTGTAGGAGTCCGTGCCCTTGGAAAGGCATAAATACTTTTTTTCTCGGAGGCACAAGATTAAAATAGGGGGATTATCAGATTTATTTTACTGTATGTGTCAAATGGTATTATACTGGAAGAAGAGGCCAATCTAGAGGAAATCCAAATGTTTTCAGATCATGACAGAAGGTGGTCCACACTCTGTGTGATGGAGAACATGTGTGTCTTTCTCTGTATGTGTGTTTCTGTTCATGGCTTCCCTTGTTTCACGTGTTTTTCAGAGGGAACCTCTCTGGAGGAGCAAGTGCGAAGGATAAAGGACATCGAGGCCATCGAGAGTGATTCCTTTGTTCCTCAGGCTTTCAAATCTTCCCGGGATGACACAAAGGTGCGTTCTGTTCCTCTTTCTCCCCTGGCCCTTTACTCTCTGAGCTTTTTTTGCTCCGTTTCTTATTGAATTTCGCCCCTCCGCGTCGCTCCGCGCCGTCTGTCCAGAGACGGCCCAGACCAAATCAAACGTTCCCATTGAATGCCATTTGCTCCCGACCCGAGAAGGTTTCATCGAAATGTTTTTTTCCCCCTCTACGACGGCAGCGCCCCACACAAAAGCCACAGCAGGCGGCAGCCGTCCCGCGTCTGTGTCTCTTTCCCTCCCCCCTCGCCTTTCTGGTTGCACAGAGGCAGACCAAATGCATAGGTCATTATTGAAATGTTTCTGCCTTCTGAAAGAGCTGGAATTAGATTTGCCTGGACTCCGTGGCTTTTTTTTAAAATACAGGTGACATCATTTGACAGAAAACCCACAAAAGTTATGATCCATGTGGCCAAAGGGAGCCACATGCTGCAGAAATTGCACGCTGCACAGCATGTCCAAAAACAAATATTCTTACAAGATCTACCAGATGAAATGGAGAAATAAGTTTATATTAGGTCTCTATTATAAACCTAATAAATCAATTTGTCATTACATAGGATTTTTTTCCTTCTTGGGATTCAGTTCAAAATATTCTACAGTATTTCTAATATGTATCTCTTTCAATACTGACAGCTCAGAGCCAAATCCAAAATTCAGTTTCCAACATTAGAATATGACATAAGACCTATTAATTTTAATGCAGGACTGTTGTCCTACTGTAAACTAAACTATGCTCACGTACTGTAGCAATATGTGCACTACAGTCTTGGCCACAGTTTCTTTTGCATGACTTGCTGCATTAATGTGGCTTTGCTAGAGTATTGCGGTTGCTTTACTGGTGGTCTTCAGTCACGTCTGGTGTCATCAAGCAACTTCTCTCCCTCTACGTTCTTCCTCCCGGCTCTGGTATATTGATTCTAATGAAATGAAAAACAAACAAAACTTTAATCCAGAGTGGTTCAATCTTTGTACTCCCTAGAAGAGGTAAGATACTTCAGGTGTGGCTTCACATGAGGATCATGCCACATTTGTTGCCCACATCCTTGGTTATTTCTGTGTATTGCCTGACTCCAGCCAGAATCTACATTTGGTGAATCTGCCCCAAAAATCTTGACAGCATTAATGTTCACAGTCTTCTAAACGTTACTATTATCCTCACATGTGGAAGGAACATGCTTTTTCCTTCCACTCAACCTTCCGTTAATGTGCTTAAAAACAGCATTATGTGAACAGCCAGCTTCTTTAGCAACGACTTCTTTTGACTTTACCATTTTCTAAGAGGATTTTCGGTCTACCTCCTGGATAACCAGGAAGTCTACAATCTTCCCCATGCTTGTGTAGGCTATAACATGGTAATAAAATAAGATTTATGTATTTAAATCAGAAATAAGCGCCTTAAATATATCACAGCATCGCTTTTTGACTTGTGAATTAAAACAAAATCATTTTTGAGGTCTGATTTAGTGCAATGCACCTCTCTGACAGAAAAAATTGAGTTTTAAATTTTTAGTTGGATGTCAGTTTGATTTTAAAATGTATTGCATTGTTTCTTTCTACATGAATTTTAATCCAAATTATTTTGCAAGTACTGTGAGTTCTTTTACAACCCGCTGATCATTTAAAGTTTGAAGTATTAATCAATACTCTTGAGATAAATGCAAAAAAAAGTTATGACAACACCTACGTTTTTGGAATATAATCTAGTTTTTAAGACATTTTCAGTTCTTGACCATCACAACAATTGTGACACAGACTTGTGGCTCAGTGAACAGCTATGATTGCTAAGCCAAATAAACAAGGATTTGTGTCAGTACAAAGAACACAAACAGATTGTTTTTATACATTGCAATTATATTAGATATATATTTTTTTTTTTATGACACCCACAGACTCGGTTTCTTGTGTGCCCATGGTGAAACATATCACCAAGTTTGTAAACCTCTGCACAAGAGTACTTTATAGATTAATCTGTCCACTTGATTAATCCAGTTAATCAATTTGTAAACTAATTTTCATCCAATAAAAACCGCTAAAAGTTTTACATTTCTAAATGAAGAGGTCTTAGTCTGGAAAAATTATAAAATCTTAAAAAAAAAAAAAAAACATTTATAATGGGGATTTTTCACAGATTGTGTCAAAACATCTTTGTAGTTTTGCTGAATTGTGTATTTTTCCAGTTTTGTTTTTATGTTTATGAATTATAATAAAACAGCTAATCAAGCCAAAGAAATTTTATAACATCTACTTACTTAATTTTAGGTCAGATATTTAAAGTTACAGATTAAATTAAGATTCAGACCATTTGTCTGAATTTTAACTCAGACAAATGGTCTGAATTAAAGTTGAAAACCTTTCTTAACTTAAAGAATGTTTTATGTATTTCCCTACAATTTAAAAAAAAAAAAAAACACAATTACTACAAATTTAACATTTTTAATCTGCACCACAATACATTTCTGAGTTATTTAGAAACAATAACCTAATGTTTACCAGCAATTCAAATTTATTTTAAGAATATTCTGTAAAAATAATTGTTTAATTTCTGTAATTCACTTTGTTTGCTGTTTTTCATTAGCGCCGTTAGAAGTCACTGCAAATCCTTTTCAATCATAAGTTGATGAAAGATTAGTGAAGCCCTTTATGTTGGCTACAGCCTTCATTTTAAATAAATGAAGAAAAGAAGAAAAACAAGCAAGCTGCATTTATTAAAAATGTATATTCAGCAGATTGTTCCGCAGGAATGTGATGAGTAGTTTTTTTTGTGCCTCACACTTGGCACATCACCATGCTTATTAGTCAGTGTGTTTCATATCCTGCTCACTTTTTGTTTCCTGCCAAATGAATTTTAAAAAGATTCGTCCAACTGGGTAAACATCTGCTCTACGGCTGGTACTAGGGGCGTTTAAAACAGTAATGGGTTTGGTGAAATGTTAATTTAGTTATTTCGTCTTTTAATAAATGTAACAGTGAAGACACGCCAGCCATTCAGACATGATGTTTATTGTAACATATGGTAATGTTTCCACACTGCAGGGTGTGAACATTTCTAAAAGCCATCTTTCTGTCTGTCAGCTCTATAAATGGCTCTACGGAGCAACCCTGAGCAAAGATCTTTGAAACATTTTTATCAAATTAATGATTGCAGTAGTGTAAATAAACTCAGTTTTTTTTATCTATGTTTTAGACTTTTTAACTTATTTTTCTCACGGTACAGTCAGGTTTAAGCAAGCAGGCATTTTCTGACTAGTGAAGCTTTAAGCAGATCTGGCTTTATTAATTGATATGTTCTCTCGTCTTTCCCATTTTTGAAAATGCCAACACATGGATGTATGCGCATTCTGTTCATTGGTGGTATATAGATATATTTAGACATTTGAAACCGGTGTATACAAAGAAAGACTTAGGAAAATCATTTTGTTTTTTTAGATACCAGAACATATAAAGATCATTTTTAGATTATGTTTTTAAGTATTTAAACTCAAGAGTATTTATACATTTTCTTAGTATTTGATACAATTATCTTTTAAACTGTGTTACTTGAGTCAAATGTTTTGGATCAATTTACTTGTATGTACAAGTGAATTGGAATTTGATTTTTTTTTTTATTTTGTGCCTCGAGATGACATCTGTTGTGAAACGGTGCTTTATAAATATACTGAACTGAAATTGAATTGAATTTAAACTACGCTGTAACTAATTTGCTTGTTCATTTGGAGGGGCCTTGTCTTTCTATGAGTCTGAATGCTGTAATTTGCCTTTTTATGATGCTTTTTGAGTAATTGCTTTTTTCTTTCTGAGTGGCATTGCTGCCCCTGGACTGATTTTGCTGTGGAAAGTGACGTTCGTTGACCAACTTCAGTTGCTCTTTGCTTTTTGTTTATGGGTTGATGAACGCTTTTCCGAGACAAACCAGTAGTTCACAAAACACGTCTTCTTGAGCAGAATGTTAGCTGAACATTTCCATTCTGTTCATACTAGGATATTGTTTCGACAGGTGAACATAGCACCGTCATCTACCTATTTATCATTCCTGAGAATGAACCAGCGTTTTGGACAACCACAATTCTCATTCTGATTTTTTTCTTTTTGGTGTTTTTCTTCCCATGATATTACAAATTAAATCAGTGTGCTTGAGGAACTGAGTCAAAATATTCCCACAGGTGTCTTAAAAATGACTGTAAATTGAATCTTGAGTGGGGTTTTTTTCTAACTAGGTTTGAGCACAAAGAATAAAAAGACTTAAAAAGAAATAACTAAATAAAATAAAATAAAAATACATAACTTACAGCTGTTTTTACATTGAAAGATAGATGAGTCCATTGAAGTCTAACAATGGCATTTCAGAATGCGTGGCTTTTCTTTTATTACTGTTTTTCACAGTTGAACAGTCAATATGTGTGTGCCATCTGCTGGACAAATATCATATTGCAAGACCCAAGTCTGCTGTGCCCTGCAATTCCATACGTCATACAAAAACATTTAAATGTACAGTTTGTTTGATAATCTTATTGAATGTATTACTTGAGACATACTTTAGAGACATTTCACAATTAACCTTTTTTTTGCTATAATTGTATTAATATTGTGTCATGATTGCATGCTCGGTGCAGTATGCGATTCATTTAGTCTTTGTTTCATCTGTGTCTGTGAACACAGGTTGTTGTAGCTCAGAAGAAGCAGGAATCGGAGAGCGTTCCGTCTCAGGACTACTCCCTCCCGATGTCTATAGTCTACGATGACAGCGGCACCCTCGCTCATCCCAGTGTAAGTTTCCTCCAGCTGAATCCTCTCCAACCGTTTCCTCCAACATCATCTCAAACTCTCGCTCAGTTTCATTAAATAGACTTTTTAAAGAGCAGTAAAATGCCACCACCTCGATAAGAAGTTACGCCTCCATCTTATGGTTTTATTTCCGCCTTGTTTTTTATGAGTGTGACAAAATCCATATGATTTTGAGTCTATGGCAGTTTGGACAAACTTTTTTTTTTTTTTTTTTTTTTACCCCCTCTAAAAGATGTCACTGCTTCTACAAACACCTCCACTATTTACAGCCCCCATGATTCCGGCGCATTCCCATCCACCGCATCACGTCGTGCGAGACTCTGCAGCTCGCCGGTTTACAGGCCTTCTCCTCTGATTGCAAATGAAAAACGAGAGGGGAAAAAACTTTAAACTCCAATAACGCTCCCTGGGGCTTCCCAGTCATCTATCTCCACTGGGGGAAACGAAATTATGCCCTGATGTATGCAGATAACCCACTCGCAGAGATGCACCGTGCCCCCCCAGCCCGGCACACACACGCTCACACGCATACATGCACTGTCAGACAGGCTGATATATGGTAGCAATATGCCCCAGGCAGGCCCCGGCCTCGGCTCCAGCTCCTGCTCCACTTCCAATTAGAACAGATGAGTCCCATTAGCCCGGTTCAGATACTGTCATCCCACACACACAGCCTCATTAGCACCGTGACACCAGCCCAGGGCCGACAGACAAGAACTAGTGCCGAGTCTAACATGAGATAACACGCGGTGCAGCTGTACGCGCCGTAGGTTGGAGATGAAGGATTGACGTGCTCGGCGGCGGGGGGTTGCTGCTCGACCATCTGCATAGTAATACACGTATCAACACCTAGATGTACAGAATGTACATATCGCCGGCATGTCAACGTCATCTCTCAGCCTCGCGTAAAGACATGCAGTGGATATAGGAATAATCTGATATCTTCCACTCGGTGCCTCAGTGCTTTGCATCCCAGTCATTGTGTTACTTCGTAATAAACAGATGCCTTCATTCGTCAGACGCTCGCAGCTGTAGCATTAAAGCCGCCTCACAGTCAATGCCATCACTGCCGGTAATGTACTGAATATAAGTAGTAAGCAGGCATTTTCCCGCAGCAGGCCTTATAGGAATGGATGAGATACATGCTGAAATGTACTCCATGCAGCTGGATCTGAGTAGGCGTCACTCGAAACAGGGCGCAGTATTCAGGGTACTCAAGGTTCGTAGGGGTGCTTGACTTCCCTGCAAATGTTTGAATTTCAATTAGATGTTTTCAAAGTTTTGAAAGCGCTTGATATTCAAACGTCATATTTGTGTTTCACATTAAAGTGCAATCTAGCAATTTATTAAAAGCCTAATTATGGAAAGCATTATATACAGTTGAAACCAGATATTTGCACACACCTAATAAACACACACACACACACACATTTTTTTCCTCACTGCCTTGAAGTTGAATCAGACTAAACATCTCATGTTGTAGGTCAGTTAGAATTACCCAATTATTTTATGTGAGACATACAATTGTGTTATATCACAAAACATTATTAATAATAGTAATAAATTACATCATATTAATGTGAATTAAAACTGTCTCTTAGGTCATTTGTATTGTTTTTCTCTACAAGGTGTGATGCTGGAAAATATAGTACATACTACACAGTTTTACGTCTTTGTGTAAAACATTTCATTTATTTACATATTGTCAGTTAAATAAGTATATAAAAATCAGTTAGAAATATATTTAGGGTGATTGGTTCATTTTCTTGACAGACTTTACAATGAATCCATATTAAGCCTTCATATTGGTGCATAAATGCAGATCTTCATTTGGATCTTGAGACTTCTTGTCTTTTTTTTATAGGACATAGCTAAAGATTTGGGAATTTGAGTGACAGAGAGTAGAATTTAGTCCACAAGGGTAATTAGCAAATACAGCAAATAAGGGGATTCTCAAGGTTAGATTACCTTAATTTACAAATATCACAAAATTATGATATTAGCCTAAAGATTGACAACAAAAATCCCTGACTTAATTGATTTTATAATGGAAAAAAACCCAAACAAACAAAAGAGACATAATTTTCCATACTGCTCTTAAAATGATACATCACATTATTACATTTAAAATACAATATTATTTTTAACAATTTGCTGATTGCTATATATTGACTTCAGCAAAATCAATAATGATTTTAGTCGTCATTTTCAAGTGTTTATTGTGTGGAACATCATGTTATTTGCTGGTTAATTTGTGGGAAATTTGAGAGAAAAAAGTGAGCAAAAGAAATTAAATGTAAGCTCTTATAACACAAAAACTGTTAGCTAATACAGCCATGTTTTCTTATTATGAATTATTCTGGTATCAGTCGGCACCTCGTGACGGTGAGCGATAATACTAACGATAACTAATGCCCTCAGTAATATAACTGATCAACTAAAACAAAAAAAAAACTTGCTTATTATCAAAGCAAAAGCAGAATAATTAAATATTCAAATTGCAGTTCAAGTTTGAAGTTTTATTCCAGATTGTATTGATGGGCCCCTAAACTTCACCTTTCTGATAGATGGACTAATGTGGCTCTTGTGCAAAAGTATGTTTTGCTCCTGTAGATGAGTTTGCTCAAACTGTTTCTTTCTTTAGTCTTCCTAACGTTTCCTCCTCTCTCTCTTCTGGCCTGCAGTTGTTCATGGATAAAGAGACGGCTGAAGATCTCTGGCTGAGCAGATTGATCTCTCTGCGACAAGAACGACTGATGGGAAGTCCTGTAGCCTGAAGACCAACAGCGTCCAATCAGAGCTTTTTGTTCCGAGCGTCGTTTTTAGTTCAGATCTTCACTTTCGGTCTTCTTTTGGAACATCACAACAATGCCTATCTCCACTTTTGCGAGGCTTTTTGAGGGAATTTGTTTTTGGTCCATTTCGGTTTTTTGTTTTGCTTTTTTCTGATGTTGTTGATTTTGATTTGGTTAATTCTGTTATTGTTTTTTTTTTTTTTTTCAACATAGATGTGAACTTTGACACATTATGTTTTATCTTTCTTTAAAAAGTTAGTTGTGACTGATGTGGGTGTATTGTAATAAAATTTACTGACGAGTCTCAACAAAACACCATGGCTCTTGTTGAGTTTCTAAAGTTAAATAAGCATATTTAGTGCTCCAGTCACAAGTTTGCATATTCCAATCATCTGCATTACCATAATTGTATGTGGCTTTAATGATTTGTTTGGACTGTTGTTCAGGGTGGAGAGATAATGCCACTTTTTTAAGAAAATGCACATTTGAATTTGTTGTGGATTTTCTCTAATTCTATAATAATTTGGATGACAATTTCATTTTTAGCTAAATTTGTTCAGATATGAACATTCTTTTGTGGAAATAAATCCAGTATTACAATTATCCTGGCAAAATGCACTTGATTTCAGGGAGGCTTAATGTTTGCCTGCGTATCCATTCCAAACCCAAGTTTTATGATTGTTCGGGCTCATCAAAAACATATATTCATACAAACTCTAGCCAGTCTTGAAGGTGTTGATTTTTCTGGAGCAAATTCCTCTTTTTTGCTTGGGATCCACCTCCGATCCATGTAAATGTTGAACTTAGTTACGAATCTCCCATCTTCTAGTTTATGATCAACTACGCTTGGTTGTTTATGAAAATCCCAACCAGCTTCCCTTCCTCTTTTTTTTTAAATCACAAAAGTTATATGTTGCACAGTCTTCCTTACACCTGGAAGAAGAAATGTACATGTACCATCAAAAAGTTTAGCACGACTGACCGGATTCAAACCCCTGGCCAAAACTGTAACGCTGCACTCTGCCTTGAATTTTATTCCTTCTACTCATGTGTACTACTGAGGGATTTAAGTCTGTGTTTTCTCAGTGTTGTGTTGCTAGTTGAGATATATTCGTGGAGGTGAGTCGACCCACAAAGCTATTTGTGGAACCTCCAGCTGGTAAACCTATACAGTCTAGGACTTGCTGTCGCTATTATGGTCTCCAGACACTTGGTGTCAAAATGAAATGATAATTAAGAACATAATATAACTCGGTAACTAAGCCCACGTTAAATTTAGTTGCATGACTTGCTTGCATTTGCAAAAAAAATAAATGTTCTACATATCTGCAAACTAGGTGAGCTTTTTTGTAAAAAAAATAAAAAATAACAGATTCTTTCTTGTTTTTTCTTGTTTGTTTGTTTGTTTGTTTGTTTTTTTAATATAGTCCAAGAATAACAATAGATCTACCTAAAACAAACTTAATGTCACTTTGGGTGACATTAAGGACAAGGAAATGTGCAGTAACGCGCATTAGCGCGACAAGCCACGTGAGTTTTCTAAGAAATTTCTTGAGTGCCGTTGCCATAGCAGCCAACCCCAAACGGACAGCGCGCGGACGGGAGAACCAAACGACAGCCAATCGGAGCGTCGGGCTCGTGTCTCGTGGCCGGTGTCAGAGTGACTTTGGTCCTAATCGCACTCGGGGATCAGCTGCTGCTGTCGAGTCTCCTAGCGGAGGAACGTGAGTGTCGGACTGGAAGTCTTATTAGAAACAACAGCGAAGAACTATCTGCGCCTTTAGGAAGCAGCGGAAATGTACAACAACATGCTGAAGGAATTGGACGAGGACCCATTCTTCTCGTAAGTTCCCAAAGCGGGGCTGGATAATTTTACCCGTTAGAATTTTCTAGCTTGAATTCAAGATGACGCGTTTCGAATTTTCCGACATTATTATGAATCTGAACAGCCTAAAAAAATGTATATATATATATATATATATATATATATATATATATATATATATATATATATATATATATATTATATATAACAGTGGGGGAAACAAATTTTAAGTGTCAGAAAATGTAAAAAAAAAAATGCGTAATTTAATTCTAATTTATTTTTTTTTTAAAGTGCCACGAGCTTGTGTGGAAAAGTTGTTTCGTTTTAAGTTACCTAGCAACAGCTGCTGAAGATAAAGAAGAAAAACGTCTACAAAGCAAATAAATAAATACAAAAAACTCCATTGTGTGAGGTTTTTAACAGATTTAAGTGAGGAGTTGAATAAAGTACGTTTCTAAAACATTTTCAGAGACACTTTCTGTTCATGTCTCAGTGAGTGTTCACTCTGTCAGAGGCCTGCACCCACTTTGACATGATCCATGAGTGGGAGGCCTGCAGGGCATTGGTGTGGCCACACTTGACCCGACCTCTGAGTCAAGTGTTGAGGCTGGCCAAATTTACTTCAGGGGTTGCTTCTTATTTCATGGTGGTGTTTTCGTTGAAGAATTTATTCGCAATAAGATCCGAGTCAACACAGGAAAAGGGAGTCGTTTTGGGAAACTGCAGTTCCTCACAAAAGTATTCACGACCCTGCAACTTCTTCAAGTTTCAACCACAAACTTAAATGGGTTTTATTTTGTTTGTTTTTTTCAGTAGAACCCCAATGAAAGCACGTATTATACATGGATTTTTTTTTTTTTTATTAAATTTTTTATTGAAATTAAAAATCCCTAAATACGATCGCCTTCCAGTTGTTCTTTGGAGGCTTCTGGGGTTTTTAGAAATCATTCACAAGCAATCGGTATCCTCAAGTACAAGGAACACACCTACTAGGTCAGGGATAAAGTTTTAGAGAGGTTTAAAGCAGGGCCGGGTTATAAAACAATTGCTCTAAACATCTGTTCAGTCCATAGAATAGAAGAACTGCAACTTAACCACACTTCTAAAAGATTGGCCAAAATTTGAGAGTTGTGAGCAGTGTTTGTGATTTGAAAAAACTGGCTAATTGCATTATTTTTCTTCAATATGTTTTCATGCATTATATGTGTATTTATGTTCTCTAAATTTTAATGAGTATATAAGTGCAAAAACTGAATTCATTCTTTCATTATGGAAATTTGTTCTGAAACATAAAAATGCAAATGACATAGAAGTGTTTCAACATTTAAAGCAAACTTCCATGTGGTGTTTAAACAAAAATTATGAATGACCTTCTATCAAAACTTCTAATTGGGAATCTGTGTCAACATGCTTTTCATTCAGTCTTACTTTTGTGAAGAACTTGCCAAAGCTCTAGATCCACAAAGTTGACATTCTCATAACTTGAACTGTCTCATAAAGGGATTTCAAAAATTATTTGGTGGGAGGGACTGCGTACATGTGCTTACATCACACTTTTTATGCAAAAACCTTTGAAAATCATGAATCCTTCACAATGTTGTGCAACATTTATTTTGTGAGCTAACATGAAACTGTACCGTTAAAATACAATAAAGTTCAAGGCTGTGTCTTGACATAATTTAGAAAAAGCACTACAGTGTAATGACATTTTTTTGTCTATGTGATTGCTAAGATGCCCTTTTTGTCTTTTCTTTCTCTCTGTCTTTCTTCAGGGAACCATTCCATGCTCATAGAGAGCACATGAGGCAGGTGATGCGCAGTTTCTCAGAACCATTTGGTTTCCCCTTTGGCACAAGCATCACAGACGGGAGAAACCGCCGCCGCGACATGGTCGAACATCCAGGCCCTTCTTTTGATCGAAGAGACGAGTATCGGGTGAGAACCTCTCTTCAAATTTAGGCGACGCACTTTTAACTTTTATTATATTCCTCCATTTATATGTTTCAGTCGTCCTGTAAGCTGCCCAGTGCTTTCTCCCGAGGAAGCGCTGTGTTTACTAAGGTTAGGCTCTAAAAACTGGCCACATCTACTGCCACTTGCAGAGGTGATTGACCATGTTTGTCTCTGGTTATGTAGAAGGGTAACCCCGTTGGCCTCTCCTAACATCTAGAAGGCCTATTTATAGCACATTGTTCCACTAACACACTGCTTTCTTGTTTTATTTTTATGCATTTCTTTTTGACAACACTTCTCTGTATTTGAAGATTTGTTGAAATCAGTGAGGGAGAACCAGTGCTGTTCAAAGGGATTCACATCTTTCACACTGCAGCTACAAACTTTAGTGTGTGTGTGTGTGGTTTTTTTTTTTATGTATAAATCTGAACCCAGGCCAGCTTCTCTATCTCTTCTGAAGAATGGCATGCCAAAACAGTAGGATACCGCCACCACCATGCTTCACACTGGGAAATGTGTGTTTTGGGTTACAAAACAAATATTCATCCGAAAGTGTGTCTTTCACGTTTTCTTTTTATGACAGCGGAACATTCAGTCATTCATGCAATCACACACACACACACACACACACACACACACACACACACACACACACACACACACACACAATGGTTAACTACTCCATAGGAGCAACAGCTGCCTTTGATACGCCAGCAGGCAAGGTGGTTTGGAGTGTTTTGGCAGATGGAACAGGGATCAGATTGGCAACCCACTGATTATGGGACTATCTGCCACCATCGTCCCGGTAAACTTACACTTTGTTCTCATCTAAAAATAGAACCTTCTGACAGCTTCACAACTTTTGCTGAATTTTAACAATTACTTTCTTCTTCTTTCTACACTTCAGAAGCCATATTTTGTAGAGTGCAAAACCTGTGTATAAACCGACTCTGCTATAAAGTTAGCCGACTTGCATGGTGGGCTCCTTCCTTTTCAGGATGCTCGTCGTTCTCTAATGCCCAAAACTTTTAACATCTTCTCAGAACATGTTGAAATAAAAAATGACATGCTTAAGTAGGTGACACTTGAATTCAGCTGTATTTTATTTGGTTGTAAAATTATGAAAGGAGCAGACTACATGCTGTACTTATTTGATTTTACTGGTAAAAAAATAATATAAAATAATTTTAAAAAAATTCTGAACTTTGTATCTTTTGCTTTCCACTTCACAGTTAAGCACTACTTGCTGTTGGTCTTTCACATAAAATATTACCAAAAAATATTGAAGTAGGTGATAATGGATTCCGCGTAGACGGTTTGGTTCATTTGTGTTGTTTTACCCAACTTGCTCCTTACCATTGTGGTGTTAATTTCTCTGGCTTGTTATAATAAAAAGAACATGTACTGTATGTAGGGAAGTGGTGTATATTTGATCCGCTGAGTCAAACTTAGCCGGAGTCACCTGCTTTAATCCAAGTCTCCCATGAGAGCTGGTATATTTATCCTTGATAATGGCTTTCATCAGAAGTGTGACCTCAGTCCCAAGCAGCGTGCTCTCTGAGTACTTAGAAGTGATCAATAGAATAATAAAATATGAGAAGACGCTTGCAATCAGTCGTATTAACCAGGATATGCACTGTTTATGAATAAAAAAAAAAACTAACTGCTTTCTGATGTCCCACTTGGTCAGAGGAAGGCGAGACCGGCAGTGGTGGAAATCCTGAAGCGGCGCTCAGATTGCTGGCTTTGACGTGGCATGTGTTCTATGTTCAGATGTCACGGGCACTCTATTCCCTCATTGTTGCTCTTTTCGTCCATCTGTTTCGCAGAACTTGGCATCGCTGCTGCATTAGCAGCTACATGACAGACAGCTCGCTCCCAAGCTGTTCTCCAGTATCAGGCACAAATGTGCACACGGAGACGCATTCGAAGAACACACACATATGGCTCCAAAATGTGCATGCAAGCAGTCACCCACAGTTCCAGCTTGCAATATTCACGCAAGTTTGGATGGTTGCGCTACTACTTCTGTGATCAGAATCCCAGTGGGAAGAAACGTCCACCTTCCTCGACTGCTGAGTTCTCACATTTCTCTCTTTTGCCTACACCTACGCTGCCTGGTTTGGGTTACCATTCACAGCCTCCATTCATCAAGGAACCTGTTTACAAATGTGATCGTAAATAACAACACTAATGCCGTATTAGATTATTGAAATAAGCTGTCTTTGCCTGCCATTTTAAGTAGTGTGCCGAGGCTTAATGATAATGATAAACAGTGTTGTGTTTGGTTGATGTCACATTTGTGGATTTAAACATCTCTGCAGGTTTTGTCATTTCTTTGTTACACTTAAATCTTTTGATATAAGAAAAGATAAGCTAAGTAAAATTGTTGCGAAAACTTCCCAGGTATGAGCAATCCACCAAAATTACTCCAGAAGCACATTAACAACTCAACCAGGAGGACGAAAAAGAATTAAGTAACACTGCTGACCTCAATTAGGATCCGGGTTCATTATTCAATAGAAAAGAGACTGGGTAAAAAATAGCGGCCATGAGAAACCACTGCAACAAGTATTCAAAGGCCCATAAAACACTTCCTAAGGAAACATGTTGATGATCCCCAAGACATTTGGGAAAGTTTTCCTGAGCCTAGCACAATATAAGTGAACATTTTCTCATTACATTCGTCATAAAGCTGCCACAGCAATTCAAAAAAACTATAGATTGGTTTATTTGGACTGTTTTTTTAAATAATTTGATAACTCTTTTTTTCTTTTAATTTACTCAGCTTATCTTCTCTGTCATTAAAATTTGTTTAATGATCTGAAACATTTACGTGTAATGAAGAAAAGGCGAAAAAAATATAGTATTTAAGTGGTCAAATGAATACTTTTCAGATTAATACACATGCTTAAATCAAATAGTTTTTGCTGCAGGGTAGAGGAAGTGATGAAAGTGAATATATGAAAACTGTGCATTTTACTTTTCTCATCTCTTATTTGAATCTGTTGAATCAGTTGCTTCAGTTCAAAATCACAATGAGCGAAACATTAAAAAATTGTTCAATTTCAGAACTCCTTACAATTTTTGCCAGTGTGTAGACGAGTGTATCTGTTTAACTTTGTTTGCGCTCTCTCTCACACCTTGTCTAAATATACTGCATACTGCTGTCCAACTGACATTTATGAGTTCATAGATGCCACGGTGGGATAAAATTGGCAGTTCAGGAGCGTTTTTACATCAGCTTGACCTTTGAAAAGAGCTGAGAGTGCATCCATGGACTCTGCAACCCCCTTAAACCCCAGGGGAGTCATGTCCTGACTGGACCGCCCGGCCCACTGCAGCCTTCCGAGAATGAGGCTCGCTTTCAGTGTTAAACCCACTCTAATCTCTGGCCATGCAACCTAATTACACATGGAACACAAGTCATTCAACACCCCACTGATCGCACACAATAACCCTGCACATCGCAACCCCAGAAAATCCCCACGCACACATAGTGATGGCTGTTGAGATGTTTGGCCAAGACCGTGCGGTCACAAACACCTGTGGTCTTGGCAGGCAGAGCTCAGGCTCAGGATGTGGGAGGCTGCAGGATGCTCCATTTTTATCATCGTTGAGGTGTTTTCCAGCTGCAAAAAGTTTGTCACCTTAAAAAAACAAATCTTTGCTGAGGGCAGAGTGTAGCACTGTGTAGGTTTGTTTCACGAAGTGAAAGAAAACCCAGTCACTTACTGGGATCAACTTCAAGAAACATGTTTTATTGCCAACAACAATTTGTTGTTCTCATGGAAAAAAATGAACAGGTAAAGAATTTATTGCAAGCACAATGGACTCTATTTAAGGAAGTTTATGCACCTTAAAAACTTGGTGTGGGTTGGTTTGTTGCTTTTATTGATTGCAATGTCTTTTTCCACCAATGTTGTTTCTGTAACAGCATTTAATCAATATATTGATGTTTACATCAATATGTTTTAAAATCTGAATTATTTTGGCAGTTTAGCTTTCCTATTGTTGACGCCATTTATAGATCATTTTTACAGGTCACTTTTATCATCACAGTAAATACAATCGACTTTCATAAAATATTTATTTAATGGAAAATAATCTACAGATGTTTTTTTTTTATTCACTCTGACTAAACTTGTGTCATTTTATAAAGGAGAAAACGCAAAGATTTTGGTCTACATACTTGGCCCTGGTGTAAAACAAACCTGAGAAAAGCTGTAGTTGTAGTAAAATTTGGTCTTACAGCACAGACACCACCATTATAGATTATTTTATTTGAAAACCATGTTATATTTCCTTTGCCCTTCACAATTAGCTGCTGTTTTGTGTTTATCTTTCATGGACAGTTGCAGTTTTGATGTGTTAGAATGCAGACAAGTGCCAGAAATATGAATACTTGTTGATTTAAATAGAAAATCCCCATGTCTGAGCATGTCTTTGTAACATACAGCTGTTGAGATGCTAAACTGATATTGTTTCTTCAGGATATGAGCCAGTCATTGCTGCCTTTTGGCAGTACTGGCAGCACGGTGAGTTGGGTCTGTGTGTGTGAAGAGAAACTCACCTTACTGAGTGCATGCTCTAACCGCAGCTGGCTGCATTCTTTGCATTTTAGCATTATCCAGCAAAGTAAAGCAAAGTGGGTTCTGCTTGAATACTCATTGCAAGTAATTTTCATTATTTAGGATGCATTATTAGTACACCAACGCTGTCATCCTATGAATATAGGACAACAAACAACAAATAAAAACAGCAATCAGAATGAGAAGTAACCACTGAACTGCTTCCTTTCTTTGCAATAAACCTAAACGGGAGATACAGCTATCTTAAACAGATACTTCTTTTATTGTCTTTTGAGAGATTCCTGTCTCATTTGGACATATTCAATTAGTGTCAGATGGATTGGTACATTTTTATTTAGAACATATGGTTAGTGCTTTAGCGATGATTAACAAACATTAATGATTATTAACATTCAGGTCAGGTTATTATCAAAGCACTGGCTTTCATTCAGCTTTTAGCATTAACAATCATTAAAAAAAATCTCGCGCTTTTCAGTGTTTGTGAGTGTGCAGTGACTCTCACGGTTTTTGTTTTTTGGATTGTTTACTCATTATTATTGTGGTTATAGTTTGCAAAATAGTTCAGAGGAAGAAATATTTATGCATGTATCTGCATGTATATTTTTTTACCCACATAATGCAGCTGTTTGTGACTTGTTAATGTCAAGTGACCATCAAGAATAGTGCAGTTTTTGAACTGACTTTTCATTGTGGTTTCCTTTCATGTCCGGGCAGAACATGATGCGGAACCATTTCAGCATGTTTGACAACATGATGTCCAACATGAGAAAAAGCATGGAAGAAATGCACAGAGACTTTGTGAGTTCACCAACATTATTTATTTTCTTTGTGTATATGGTGCTAAATAAATAAGTAGCAATCAAATCTATTTTAAGTGAAAGCTGTCTTGTGTTGCACTCTGTGCTTGTCTTTTTTTTTTTTTATTGCTGTCGTTTTTTTGGGGTTTTTTGGAGGACGCGTCACCAGATGCAAATGCCCTCTCATGCAAGTCATCATCAGTAATGTCATACTCAAAAGTTGGAGATGAGCCTCCAAAGGTGTTCCAGGCAACTTCATCGACTCGCTGTGCCCCAGGAGGAGTAAGTATTCTAGTACTCTAGGAGTGGTGATGTGCTGAAGAATCCTGCTTTATGTCTGGAAATGCTAAAAATAAATCTGCTTGAAATTAAACTCTAAATAGAAACACTTGTGATGTTATTACTGGCACATTTAACTAGATATGCAATGATCTTCTTTTTAGCTATAATTTCAGATCTCTGTTTTCTTTTGCTTTTCTTTTTGGTAATTAATTCATTTTAATCAATTCCAACTTCTGTTTAAAAACTCCAATTAATATTAATGTCCATAATGTTTGATAAAACATAAATTATGTTTTAACATAAGCTGTCATTAGTTATTTTTGTTAGGACCACAGGAGATTTCACACTGTGTGTGATGGAAATGTAACAATGATTTTTCTTCTCCTTCTAAGGAAATTACATGGCTGACATTTCAATTTATTTTAGTGCAAAGGTTCTTCATTAATCTAAAAAATATATATAAGTAAATCTTGTAGCTTAAACTACCCAAGTTTCTTCAAAGAGTTGTTAGTAGAGGGTGATGGAGGATCTCTTGTAGTGGTGTGTATTACAGTGCCTCTGAAGAAGCCTCTGACTGAAGACATTTTGTTTTTGTATTACATTCTAAGGAAGAGGATGCTCGGGATTGTCTGTGATGTTCAGGCCCAGTTAAGCCAAAAATGGTCCGATTTCAGACACTAGGCAATTTCTTGCATGTATTTATCATCATTATAAAACAATCTTACAGATACACGAAACTCTTCATAAATGAATGAACTTGTTTAACGATTATGAATGTAACAGCCTTAAAGCTGCTGTCTTTCCCAGATAAAGGAGACACGGAAAGCTTTTAAAGACTCCGAAAGCGGTCTGGAGAAGTTGAAAATTGGACACCAAATCCAGGACAGACGGCATGTTGTCGAGAAGAGACATAACAGAAAAACTGGAGAGGAAGAGATTAAACAGGATTTTGAGAATATGGATGAAGGTATGTGAAAGCTTTGCACCTCTGCCCTGATAAGGTCGTCTGACTGTAACTAACGATATCTTCCCCCCACAGCTGATGCAGACTCTTTTGATAATGAATGGCAGCAGAAGGTATCCAGGCTGCTGTCACCAGTCTCCATGCCTGGCCCAATGCAACGTCAGCTTGGTAGTCCTGAGCATCCCCGTAGGTCAGTATTAACTTCAAAGGACACCTAGGTTGAGATTAATCATGACTATTTTTGGTGCTTATTTAGTTTTTGGTCTGTTTTTTTTTATTTTTTATAGAGGTCATCGAAAGAGAAAGGCTGGACGCAAAGGCTCAGGCAACTCCAGCGAGTTGGAATATTGATGCCTCTGTCTTTACGTGCAATTAAAGCCATTTACGCATCTCACAGTTCAAAGTGGTGCCTTCCTCCAACTCCAGAAACACACACCACATGAAACAGAGAAAGAATCTATTACAGTTGGACACAAAATATTATGTCACACATATGTGTTCTTTGATGCACAGCCCGTAGCGTATGTTACAGATGTGTCCTTGTTCCATCACATCTGGTTTAAACTGATGAATAATTATCAGCCTCTAAAAGGCTTGATGTCAGACTTTAGAGCTTCTTTTCAGGTACAACTGAAACAATAATATAACTGCAGGAACATTAACAAATCAAATCAGAGTACCATGCTTTGAGTTCCTGTTTAGTTCCAAGCCACAAAGCAAAATAAATCAGCAGACAATCTGATGGAAGTAAAAGGCTGCATTTATACTGGAGTTGTGGTATTTTGAAGTTTTATTTTTATAAAGAAATTTAAAAACTGCAGCCTTTCATTTACAGTGCTTTGCACACGTATTCTTACACATTGAACCCTTCCAGGTCTTGTCTCATTACAATCACAAACTTCTATCACATTAAATTCAATGAAATCCCAAATCTTGGAATTTAAGAAAAGCCAACACAAAGCATTGCATAATTGCGTCATGATTACGCTCACGACCCGAAAGGAAATCCAGCACAACCAATCGTCTTCAGGGTTCACCTAATCAGTAAAAAAGACCCCACCTGTGTGTGATGTAATCTCAGTTTGAATGGAGATGTTCTGTGAAGGCCAATGAGGTTCGTTAGAGAACATTAGCGAACAAGCTGCACCATGAAGACAAAAGAAACAGCAGGTCAGGGATAAAGCTGAGAAGTTTGAAGCAGGATTAGGCTCTAAAGCAGCATCTCAAGCTTTGAACATCTCGCATGTACACATCATTCCCACCACGAAACACGGTGGTGACCACATTATGCTGTGTCACCAGCATTTTTGTCAGGAAATCTGAAAAATAGAATTTTACACATCATGTAAACATTATCTCTTTAGCTTATAAAAAAGGTAACAATGTTCATACTGTGTTTGTTGTAAAATGAAGCAATGCACACAGAACATATCCGGTTTTGTTTCTATTTAGCGTCTGTTTTAAATACTGAAATCTTTGTACAAACTGACCTGCCCTTAATCTTTTTATATTTGTTTTTACTTGTTGAACTTTGTGCTTGATTGCCAAGTGTAGACGAACCCAGGGACTACTCTCACTAAATAATATATTCTTGTACGTTTTGTGTTAAAAGTGAGGTCTGCCAGTTCAGGATGTCTGAAAATAAAGTGTGAATGAACCTGATCCTCTTTTCTTTCTTACTCATTGCCCCGTATCAGATATAGCTTTAATTAAACAGCACATCAGGTTTATGAGTGCGCAAGTACCTTTTGAAACTTCTATGCCTGCTGGTGACCCAGAGAAGTATTTTTGGATGGCAGCACATGTCAGTAACTCAGATGTGGCTGAGGTTTTGGCCAGCTGCAGGCCAGCCATACGCCACTTTCACATGCTTGTGTTATCACACCGTAACACAGCAGCATGCAGACCAAAGACACTTATGTTCCTCGGACATGGATAGCTTTTGTTCAGCTCAAAAACTTACTCCATGCCACTCAAGGATCGTTCGCCTTTTTTGTGTAGTTGCAAATTTGTTTCTACATACCTAAACGGTGTCGTTTGTTACTAAACCATGTATAGTTTAGCCATTTAATTAGTTCATCAATATTTGACCTTTTTTATTTGTTAACTCCTTGGTTTTTCAGCTTTTGCACTCACAAACATAAATATTTTACATACGTCCCAGTTCATACTGAATAAAAAAAGAAAACATGAGCACAAAGGTTTTAATCGTCAATACAAATATGTTACAAAATAGTTCTTGAAAACTTTGTCGCCTCCTGCTGGTCACCACAAAGCATAACTGTCAGGAATATTTACACAGCATTTACAAACCACAACAGAAAACAAAAACCGAGAAATTGTGGCTTTGCGTCTTCTCGTCACAAGATATAAAAAGAAAATCGAATAAAAATATCTAGTCCGAGTTTACATGATGCCCTGAGGCTGTCCCTTTCCCGCGATCTTCTTGGCGCACTCCAGCAAAGCATTGTGGATGTCTTTGGCACAGGAGATCTGAGACTTGATCATGCTGAGGTACTGAGCGTAGGACATGGACTCCGTCTGCACCGTGTCCGGCTTTGTGGCTGTCGGGACCAAATTGGGGGAGTGCTTGGCGCTGTCGATGCTCTGAGAGAGGCACTCGTATGCCAGGCGCTTCAGAGAGAATGGGAAAATGTGAGTTTGTAAGTAGTAAAAAACACAGTATTAATGTTAAAAATCTTAGAAAATTAAAAGTTACCAATCACAATATTATATTTGGCCCAAAATAATCACCTGGTTATTAAAGCCCTTCAACTCTAATTCAATAAATCAAGAAAAAAGCTTTAAACAGATCAGCAATTGTCCAAGTAAATGTATTTCTAAAGACTCAAGTGACATGAAAATCTCACACAAGGTTTTCATTTATTATACATAAATTTATAGAAATCTTAATTTGATTTCTTTACATATGTGGACTGAAAGCGATATTACCATCATATGATGAGAAATTGGAGACAATTGTTCAGTAGCTTTATAAATATTCAGTTTTGGCTGTATTTTGACAAATGTGTGTGGGGGGAAGAAATGTCCAAGTGGTGCAGAAAATCTAACAATAACTGGTCCATGCTTACCAAACACAGCTCCACTTGGTCACACAGGGCGTAAAACTCCTCTAAGCTTTTATCAAAACGCTGAACAGAAGTGTCGCTGCTTTTACTGAGCAAACAGAAACAAGAAACACGTTTCAGAAGACAAGAGCTAACTTACTAACTGAGGTCAAAACGGACCTCAGTAAAAAAAAAAAAAATAAAAAGTACTGACACTGTACTTACACGCCGTTGTCGATTGAAGTGTTATGAGTCAAATTCAATGCTGCAACCTTCATTAGATTCTTTTTTTAAATTAAAGCAGACAGATTAGCGTCAACAGTATCCATTGTCCAGTTTTTAGCTCGTTCATAGCGGGGTACTAACCTGTAAACTCTCCTTCAGCTGCGGAATAAGCATCTTAAATCGATGAACTGGATCAAAGTCTTGCTGCTGACTGAGCTGTTGCTGCTGCTGTTGTTGCTGTTGCATTGACGCAGTTTGGGATATACCGACTTGAGAAATTTGACCAACAGCTTGCTGCTGCTGGGACGCCATCTTGATACCTTCGCAACAACGCTCATACGAAATATCCGGTTGCTCTCGTTTCAAAATAAAAACTTCTGCGTCATTTCCGAATTTTTGTTGTTGTCTTGTTAAATTTACCTCTTCGCACGTAGATAATTAATACATTGTATCCCATTCTTTTTCCTTGTCCAATTATTTGATTAAAAAAAGCCATTTTAATAAATTAAACTTCGGATTTGTAAACTAAATCAGTTTTTTTTTTTTGCAATAGCAGTTTGATGAAGCCATATAATGGAGGTATGGAGATTTTTTTTCTCCATACAATGAAATCAAGTATAATTAAATAAAATTATAAGTTCAGTTACTTAAAATGTAGTTTTCACACAATGTAGGTCTATTTGGTTGGGACTAATTCAATCAAACATAATTTCACTTCATTTAAAACACCATGATTTGGTAGAAGAGAACATTTGATTTTTCTTGTTAATGACTGTTAGACTCCAACTCCATTGTATTTTTGTCACAATATAAGTATTGAATTATTTCAATGATAAGCTATTAAACATTCCGTTAAACCAGTCAAGTAAATGTTTGCTACATAATACCACATATCATGGTTAGTTTTTCTTCGTGTGTTGCTATTTTCTTCTTTATTTGCGTTTTTAGTCAAGTATAATGCCGCTTCTCGGTGGTTCCGTGAAGGCATCATGACGGCGGAGACCGAGGAGGCAGCTCCTTGCAGCGGTTGTTCTTGCGCAGAAACCCCGTAGTGCCGCCCTGAACAGCAGCGCCATTCGAAAACTGCACCAGTATCCAAAATGGCAGGAGCTGATGGAGACGACTCTCTTTACCCGATCGCCGTCCTTATTGATGAGCTTCGAAATGAAGACGTCCAGGTTGTATTATTAATTAACGCAATTAATTGTTAGTATTGTGTAACGTAAAAATAACGCTTTTTTCCAAGGCGGGCCTCATATTCCTGGCTAGCTTGTTAGCAATTATGCTAACTATCGTCCCAATTGAGGCCTGTCGGGAATTTTCTGCCGGGCGTACCCTGTCCGGGCAACCTTGTTTTTGTTGGTTACTGAGGCGAGATTTGTTCTTCTAGAGAAACTATTGACGTCGGTCTCCCTCAGTGGGTGCTAAGATGTATAAATATAGCTACTTGTTTTGTTGCAGTGGTTCGAAAACCCGAAGCAGGTCATTGAATCCACTGCTAGCATTATTGCATCGTTAGCATCTCGTACCAAATGACGAGTAGCATTCCGAGTGAAATGCCGACAGTAGCCTCTGTATACAGCCGAGTTATTTTAAGTTCCGCATTTTTAATGTTCAACTTAGATTTTTATCGGTGATTCGAACGATGATTTGCTTCAGCTAATTACTTGCAGTCTTAAAGATGCATCGAATCAACACTTAACAGTAATACACTTCTGTTGTTTTCTGTGACGATTTTGTGGAGGACGGATTTATGCTCCAATGACTGTGCATGCATTATCAATCGATCTCCTGTTTTATTTGTTTTATCTTTTTTTTCCCACAGCTGCGACTGAACAGCATCAAGAAGCTGTCTACCATTGCTCTAGCTCTAGGCGTAGAAAGGACTCGCACTGAACTCCTTCCCTTCCTTACAGGTAACGTTCAGAAGCTTGTTAATAAATCAAAAGGTCATTGTGTCATCTTTATTGTTTTCTCACTCACCATGCCACCAACTTCCAGACACCATCTACGATGAAGATGAGGTGCTCTTGGCGTTGGCAGAGCAGCTTGGCAATTTCACTATGTTGGTCGGAGGACCGGAGTATGTCCACTGTCTCCTGGTACGTTTGTTGAGATGACGCGAAACTTTTATTTCCAAGTGGCTTGTGAAATGCTGCTGTTCTGATTTGTAAATGCAGTAGAGAGAAGTCGGTTCCATTTTAGCTTGATGAAGCAGGGAGGATTTCTGTTAGACTGGTCCAAACAGTTAATTGGAAAGCAAATTTGTCTATTTAAACCAACTCATAAAGATACATTTTTATTTATTTTAATTTTATTTCTTTTTTGCAATGAGGTTGCCTAAAACGTTTGTTTTTCTTCTAACAAGGACATTCAAAAAATTTCAAAGAGTATCAATAAAGTAATTTTGATGAAAATATTAGATTTGAGTTCAGTAAAAATCAAGGATTTACAAATGTTCCTAATCTTCTTCTGTATATTTGAACGGAAAGAGCACAAAAGCTGTTGGCTGGTGTGCATAATAGACTGAAAAGGGACTTTCTTAATTTTGATTAAGTTAATAATAGTAAGAAAGAGACCATATTTGTCATTGTTGCTAAAGAAAAAGTATCTGGTTCCAGTCTTTGTCTGATTGCTTGTTGCATCTCAGTTTAGAATGAAACACAACCTACTGATATTCAGAACCTGGAAACAACAAATCTAGTTCAATATAAATCCTGGCATTCTTCTTCATGAAAGAAGACCTTATTTTATAGTTGTCTGTTTGTTCCTACTCAGTTAATGGTTAGCCTGGATTAGAGAAGAGAATATTCTTGCTGTTATTGTAAAAAGAATCATAAGAATGAATCATCCAGTGTTGCAAACATTATGGTCCAATGCTTACAAACCCCAAAACCTGACAGAAAGGCTTTGATTGCAATTCTTTATTATGCTACTAATCATATTTCAAAATTTGATTTAATGTTATCGTGTCCTGGGGAGTGATAAGGGATTATTCTTCTAAATGTATAAATGTACTGTTTTGACTATAAAATCTTTTGCAGCTCAACGTTTTCTGCCAATCGCTGTTGTTTTTTTGTTTTGATAAAGTCTGACACAGAGGGCTACCCTTCTCTAACCTCGATCTGTTTTTGATGCACAGCCCCCTCTGGAAAGCCTTGCTACGGTTGAAGAGACAGTAGTCAGAGACAAAGCTGTGGAATCCCTGCGGAAGATCTCACAGGAGCACTCTCCAGTTGACCTGGAAGTTCACTTTGAGCCTTTGGTGAAACGGCTGGCCAGCGGTGACTGGTTCACCTCTCGCACGTCAGCTTGCGGCCTCTTTAGCGTGTGTTATCCTCGTGTCTCCAGCACGGTCAAGGCTGAGAT